GAATTGGGGAGGTTAAGTACACAAGGTTTTCCCAAAAGATGAACAATAGCCTCTGAATTCTCCTTGGCATTTTTGCTGAGTTGGTAACGAGATATGGGATTGAGACACACCCCAGAGAAACACTTCTTCTTGGCATTTTCTTCCGCATCAGATGCTAATTTGTCCGCAGCTTCAATGAGACTGTTGGCACTAGGCAACCAATTCTCGAGCTCTGGTGTGATTTCTTCCCCTTTTCTGTAAACAACATCAACATAGCCATCTGCAGTCCTTTTTCTAAGCTTCAACTCAACGGCTCGTTGCTTCAGATTGTCAAGATTGTCGTTGAACTTGAGCACAAGACTGATTGGATCTGAGATAAGAGACAGAATTTTACCAAACAACTTCTCAACAACATTTCTAGCAGCATTCTGACAAACCGCACAAATACAAGCCTCGGCCATTTTATTTTTTTTTTTTGGAAGTTTAGAGAAATAAATAGGTACCAAACAAGAATGAAGAGAAAAGAAACAAAAGAAGCTAATGAATCAGATTAGGATATGATACAAAGGGGGAGAATGGTGGAAAGAAGCTGATTTTGAGTAAAGGGAAGCGAAATGAGGTGCAGGGAGTAGCGGTAGAAGGACTGATCAGGCAAACAATGGAGGGAACAAGTTGGGATGAAATCAAATCAAATGTGAAAGGTGAGGAATGAGAATCTCCTAAGGATGAGGTGATTTGTGTAAAGGGATGTGAGATGAGGTGCAGAGAGTAGCCGCCGAAGATGATAGAAAGAAGGATTGAACAGAGAAAATGAAGGAAACAAGTTGAGATGAAAGCAAACCAAATGAAATGGTGACGAAAGTAGGGCTGAAAAGAGGGATCGATTGAGCAAAAGGAGGGCATGAGAGCAATCGAAGTGATACTGAATGATTTGTTTTGGGGAAAACCCCTCAAATCCGCCCGCTTAAATAGGCGGAGAGGAACAGATTTGTTAATTAAAAAATATAGAGATAAATTATTTTTTAAAATTATTAATTAAATAAATCACTTTTTTTTACATATAATATAATTATATGTCAATTTTTTCTTAAAAAATATTTTTATAATAAATAAAGGTCTGACA